ATAGAAATAAAATACAAAAATTCATTTCAGCAAACTAAACTTGTTCTATTGCTCAGGTTAATAACAGAACGTGTGCTGCATATATTTGCAAATACATGTAGAACCAGACTGTCACACCAAGGCACCTCTATAAAGTATAGTTTATAACTTCAAGGCTGACATTGGTAAAACCTGAAAGAGATGTACAATCCATTTTAGAGGTTTGTTTAAAGACATTGTTTGGTTGGCTTTTTCCAATCAAGCTGTCAGGATCTGGATCTAAACCCAGGGTTACTCCTGTGTCTTGTGGCGGCTCTACCTGCTGAGCCACCTGAAACACTGGACAGCTTTTTGCCTGATCCCTTGTTTAATCAATAATGATACACAAGTGTTTTCTGATCTCCTTCCTCCCCTTTTGAACTTCCTATTCAAGCCATTCCTCTGCACTTCCTCTTTGCCCGATTATTGTGTCTTAATTTCTGCTGTTATTGCTCAAACTGCATCCTCAATACCTCTCCCCTTGTCCTGAGCTTTGGCTGCTGTTTTACTGACGACACTTATTATTCTCCACTTAAATCTCCCTTTGGCTACTGGGTTTCAGTTGATCACCAACAATGCTTCTGCCCACTCCTATATTGCTACCGCCTGCTTGTGTACCAACCCGGGCCTGTTTATACTACAAACTTGCCTGTGCTTTAGCTACTGGGCCCTGAGCCCGATCCCAGAATGTGACACAAGCGTCTTCAAATGCTATTCTGATTTCTACTGAGATATACACGAAGAACATGGGGTTGTTGACAAAAAGATACAGGAATTAGAGAATCCCACTCCACTGGGAGTCCTATCTGGATTGCCTACTTGGTGGCACAGAGTGTTCTTTATAATCTTCACTAGTGGTGTTCCTAATGTGTGTGTAATGAAGAGGGGTCTTGCTGCACTCCTTACCGGAAATCCCCAGTATGATGCGATTGGGTGCTTGTAGTGACCACGGGTAACACCATTAGTAGCAAAGCTTGATAGAGATGTCACCAGAACACCAAAGTAACGTTGAAATAAAAAAACAACTTCCATTTATTAACAAATGCTGTCACTCAGGCAAGTGCTTTTGGGGCTGTGCAAGGTCCCTTCATCAAGCTAATTTCTGAGACTGATGAGGGGACCCTGCGCGGCCACGAAAGGACTTGTCTGAGTGACAGCATTTGTTAATAAATGGAAGTTTTTTTTTTATTTCAACATTACTTTGGTGTGCTGGTGACATCTCTATCAAGCTTCCTACTGTGTGTGTGGCCAAAACCTGCAATTACTTATGAAGACAGTTAGCAAGAGGAATACGCCTATGGGTATTGAGGTGCAATGCTGGAGTTTATAATGTCAAGAGAAATGGAGAACAGCACACCACTGTGAAGTCACATCTCCATAACACAAGAATGGGATGTGTCAGTCAATCACTTAATTTTTTAGCCATAAAGAAGAACAAGCCCCGCCCCCCCACCCATTACAAAAACT